AAATCTCTTGTGGTAATTTTTATCTTTTTGGTGCCACAAGGGGGATCTAACAAAAATTTCACTAATTAAACAGTCGATATCCATGCCGACCACACCTGATAATAGCAAAGAAAATAGGGAATACAATTAGCGTCGCTCTTATGGTTAGTCGGCTGTCAAGCTTGTGACAATTCGTCGCTCCAATATAAACACTTGCATATAAAACTATGACAACAATTTCGTTATTTTGCTAGTATCGTTTATCGCAGCTCCAACGTAAACGCACCCTTAATCATATAAAGCGGGGCTAACACATTATTTACGTGCCGGAGATGTCAATCGAAGATTAGAATTTTGTAGATGATATTTAGAAAAAATTAAGTAAATAATCTGCTGTTTGTTCAAAATGTTATCTGGACCGATAAAGTCTCTGAATGTTCAAAGAAGATTGGGGTTCAATGTATGATGTGCCCTTTTAGATAATAGAATTTTGGAATATAGTATCTACCATAAAAACTTAAACTCGGGGAAATACCTCAATATATTAAGGCAGCACATTGACCCTTTGATCGACAATTTGTTACTAAATATGTCTCAAATGATATATTTTCAATATGACGGAGCACCAGCACATAATGCCAGAGTTGTTAGTGAATTTTTAAATATTACTACAAACTCAAGGACAGTAGAATCTAACAGGACTGCTGCATCCATTATTGTGACAACCTACCCGCAAACTACGTCACACCATTTTCCACGCCCAGCTGTTGTTATGGTCTATGCGTTTGCTGTGTGTTTTTAGAGGTTATATCCTAGATGTATTCATATTAGTTTTAAAGTTTTATGTTTTTAGACGTATTAATGTCTATCATATAACCTCTAAAAACACAGACAATTATCAGGCGTGGCAAATAGTGTGGCGTAGAGTGCGGGCAACCAACCCGTAGTCGACTACAAAAATACAATGGATGTAGCAGTCCTGTTAGATTCTACTGTCCTTGCTACAAACTTTGGCAATAATTGGAAACAATGCTTTCCCTCATGGTATGGTTATCACCATAGCAACATTAACTTTTAAATACATACATTACATTTAGATGGAACAAAATAAATTTTTGTTAATTATTCAATAACTATAAGAAACATACCCCACAAACTATATATATTTGTTATCAGAAGAAAATAACAAATTATTTTAAGTCATAGCCAACTATGGTTTCCATTTAAAAAAATAAAGTTACGTCTAAAATCTCGAAAATAAAAGATGGGAAAAAAATTCTACCTACGCCACTGAATTCTTCGTAAAAAGTTGCCCATATAATGTTTTATTTATAATACTCCATCTTTGATAATAAGTGAGATATTCGCGATTGTCGTTTTTGCAAAATTTTCGGTTTTTGCCGATAGGGCGAAAACAAAAGACGATAGCTGTTCGCAGTTTTCGGCATTAGCATTTTCTCGAAAAACGAGATCATGACATGTAAGCTACTTTTTTTCTATCTCTTTTAGTTTCGGAGATAGCCTACGCGGACATCGAAATTGGGACACTCTGTACATTGGACATTGTACATTGTAATTTACTATCAGCTACAGAACATTTAGTGTAAAAGAATAAAAAATAAAAGATCAAAAATAATTGAATTAAATTTAGTTGTTTGTTCGAGTTTTTCCTCTAAAACTAATTTAATACAACTGTTAATTTACACCATTATTAAAAAAGAACCGCTGACTAAAGCGTAGCAGTGATCACTGCTCGAGAAATAGCAAATCAAGAGGAACATAACGTAATTTATACTATTAACCTAGCTACTATGCGTCAAAAGTTGTCATACATTTTCCGAAGATACTAAAACGTTGAAAAACAACAAAAATAACTGTTTTTTCAAAAATTATAAGCGATCGTGAAAATTTTTTCAAGTAAAAGTTATGTGAAATTATGCTGTCTACCCAACTAAAGAAAAAAAAATTTTTGTTTTAAAAAATAGCGAAATTTGTACTCACATCCTGTATAACCGGAAGTACAAAGAGAATGATTTCATGTCGTAATAATCCGTTTTAACGGTCTAATTATGCAGTCCAAATGGTTTTCTTATATCACTAATAATAAAAAAAATATGGGGGTGAGCCACTTCTGAGGGACACCCGGTATATCTTTATTGCCTAACTAAGTACCAATTACAGGACAATATTATACTATTACATTAGGCGGATTACATAGATGACATATCGGGTAGGCGGACCAACTAACCTTACACCGTGACCCTAAGGAGCTATTGTACCAACCCAACCCAACCCATTAAAACTTATATGCTGCTACGAGCAAGTCCTAAAATATTCCCGGGTTTGACAGTGGCGATGTTAGTAAACACCTTAGCATGTCTCATTCCCGGAGAACTGGTCCACAGTAGGCGAAGTCTCTCTTCTGCCCACAGTCCAATCCTATGTTTGGCCATCGCACTATCTACGATACACCTGCTGGTTCTGGCCCCACAAACGCTTTAGCGCTGCTCTCTCGTGTTAGCCCATCTGCCGCTTCACTGCCAACAACCCCAGAGTGACCTGGAACCCAGATCAGAGAAACTCTGTTATCATAACTCAGTGTATTTAATGTTCTCTTGCAGAGAGCGACTTGACTGTGTGAGAAAAGTCGTACTGTCATGTTCTTCACCCCTCTCTCAAGAAGGATTTTAGCACCCATGTCAGTAGCAAATACTTCCGCCTGAAATGCAATATAATACGTACCCAGGCTATAAGCTTGCTTAATTCGAGGTATCTAGCAGTATACTCCTGCTCCGACCCCTTCCGGCGTTTTTGATCCATCTGTGAACATGCAAATATCTGCATGGATTTTTGTTTTCGATCTAGGACTGCTGTTCAGCCAGTACAATCTGGTATCCAGCATTAATGACGGGACAGTATCATATCAGCGCATTGGTAGGACATATCGGAACAGTTTTGAGCATATTGCTTAAATCTGTAAATGGTAGTTCTAGCCACTTTCTCTATATGCAAATGCAAAAGAGATAGGATAAGCAGAACATCCATTGCTACAGTTGGCATTGTGTTTATCGCACCAGAGAGTGCCAATCCAAAACTACTCGTTGAATTCGTGAAAGTTTACTCATAACTGAGTAAACTAAGTCTGTCGGACTTTCCTATACCAGGCTGCTGCTTCGTATGTGATCATAGGTCTAACCACAGTCACATAGACCCAGTACAGTCTTTCAGGGGTAAGACTCCAATTTTTTACACAAAGATTACGATGTAATAATTCGGGAATTATTTAATGGTTTTTTAGGAATAAACCATACGAATTATAAATTCCTGGCGTGCAACCTTAGAAACCAAAAATCACGTCTCGCATTTACGACGTCCGGGATGGAGACCAGACGTCAAGATAATTTTGGGGAAAATGATTGTTAATTTTGGAAAAATGATCCGCAATTTTATGAGGAAACGTAGATAGTGCGAAGAAGTCGTTAAAAAGTTAGACGGTAAATCATGTAAAGTTTGATGGGTCCCACACTTTGGGAATTACGTAATGATTTTTGAGATTGGCTAGCGGCGGATGTTATCTTCTGGTCCCGTGGTCAAAAAATTGTTGCCTTCCCCAAATTCCCTCATTGACTCAGAAAATTATTGCAAAACATCCGCCCTGTATTTTGGATGGCGCCAGGTGTCGGGGAAGTCCAAGCGATAGGAACGCCTCAAGAAGGTTTTTGCACCCCTCCAACACTCGAGATTACTTAAGAGCTTGTAAAACCTTTGAAGAGATTTTTGAATCAAAACCTCATCAGCGCTCCGTTAGACGGCAACTTAGAATTCGCTTTAACGCCAACTGTAAGTTTCGTCGCATATCGAGAACTGTGATTTGTGAAAATTCTTGTACTTCGGGCATACAAGTATGCATACATGTACTTTTGTTTCCACTGAGGATTGCGACCTGAGTGCAAGACCCCACGGTTCTGAAATAGTGACCGCGCGCTTGTTATTTAGTTTTGATTGATTTGCTAAGATCAATTAGGGGTCCTTCAGACTAAGAATTAGTGTTTCTGGTGGCAGCGGTATTACCAAAGGTCGAGATCGTTCAGAGGCGGCCTCACCACAACGACAAGTCGACAAGGATGGTCTAGTTTTGTGTACAACTCCTTGCAAATGTCCACTCTATGAGAGGGTTTTATCTAGGATTACTCCTAGATATTTGACTTCCTTTGAGAAAAGAATTTCTTCACTGTGGATAGTTGGGCGCATTACTCTATCCAACTTTGATCTCCTAGTGAAGGGCACAACGATTGTCTTTTGCGGGTTTATCGAAAGATTCTCTCTCTAACACCAAGCGCAAGTGGTATCGAAGGTCACCTGGAGAATTTTGGATATCCTCGACAAACAGGTTCTTTTTTAAGTTTGTATTTCAACATCAACGGCTTCGAGTATCGCAATCAGATCATCAACCAAAAGGGACCAAGCAGGGGAGATATCATGTCACCGTGAAGTGAACTAGAAACTATACTACTATCAAGCATATTGCGGATCCAACCCGCTATAGTTGCTTCCACTCCCCTGTCAACGGTAGCTCTTTCAAGAAATTGTGGTATTGCGTTTTTGAACGCACCTTCTATTATCTAGAAACGCACAAACCAAGATTTCTTTATCCCGAAGCGTACTGGATACTCTACCAACCAAGTTGTGTAGAGCCAATTCTGCTGATTTATCCCGCTTGCGTACTGGTGGCGACTCACTGGACCAAATGTCAGTGGCACCGTACGTATATACCGTTATAGAACTTTTCAACAGAAATGACTTTAACCCTTTTTAACCTAGTGTTGCCAGATGGAATCACAGCGCGCCGACTTATTATTTGCAAGTTTGAACTTGTTTGTGCAAACAAATCGTGTCGAGAAGCGTTTATGCATGTGCAGAAACCTCAGTCGCGCCATAACAAGCAGTTAGAGCGGTTCTAAGTATGTTTTGTTAGAAATAATAGTTAATTCATTATAGTGGTTTTTATGATTGACAACGATATGGATGATTACGCGAGGTAAGTAACTATTTTTTATATTTCGCAATAATATAAATATTTGATTCTTATGTATTATATTCTACACACTTCATACTATAAATTAACATTATTTGTTTTACTCTCTTTACACTACTTTTTGAGAAAACATGACAAAATTTCCATGTTGCCAAACGGCAACGCTAAGTTATCCCAATGCTATTTTGAATAAAACGAACGAATAAAATACTTTCACGATTGTTACATGTTATTTACATTTTGGATCATTTATGATGCCCGTTCAATGTTATATTGTAAAACATTTTTATTTTAGAAGCATGGGCATTCGATTTGTGGATGGATTTACTGTCAAAGAAGCATTAGATATGATTTTTGAAGTTGAGGAAAGAAATGAAAACGACGACAACCCAATAAGAGCAGTGTTTATATCTCCACCTGAGGCAACTGTTCTTACGGATGAAGATTCTGGAGATGAAGTTGAGTGTGAAGCTGATAATTTGAATGCGAGACAATTATTATCAGAAGCAGAGGTTGTAAGAGCACATCGAATAGAAGAAGAATTTGTTTGGGAGGAAAATAAAAAAAGAACATGGATCGAAGGGGAATTTGAAACTACAGTGGAAGATAATTTTCCAAGCCAGGTTCATGATTTTACAAACAAATCTTCTTCAGATATTTTCGAATTATTTTTCAATGAAGAAATTATTAATTTTTTAACGAGTTCTTCAAACGAATACGCGCAATTTATAAATTATGGAAATCCTGCAATAACTTCAGAAGAAATTAAAGTTTTCGTGGCAATATTGATTCTCAGCGGATATAATAAATTGCCAGGAAAGAGATTTTATTGGGATAAAACTAACGACATGGGCAATGAGCTAGTAACAAATAGTATGCGAAGAAATCGATTTGAACAAATTTTACGATTTTTTCATTGCTGTGATAACTCCAATCCAAATTTAAACGATAAAATGTGGAAATTGCGACCCTTGGTGAATATGGTAAAAAAAAACATTCACAAACACTATATTCCTGAAAAAAATTTGTCATTTGATGAATGTATGGTGAAATATTTCGGCAAACATGGATGCAAGCAATACATTCATGGAAAACCGATTAGGTTTGGTTACAAAGTATGGTGTTTGAACACTGTAGATGGATATCTTGTGGACTTCGAAATTTATCAAGGAAAAAGCATATCTTCGAACGAAAGATACGAAAAATGCTTTGGGAAAGCTGCTGCTCCGTTACTCACGATGCTGGATTCTTTACCCAAGGACAAGCAGTTATTGCCCTATCATTTATATTTTGATAATTTATTCACCAGCCTGAATTTATTACGTTATTTGAAAGAAAGAGGATACCACGCAACGGGAACAATACGAGAGAATAGAATTCCTAAAAATAATATTCTACCTTCAAATAAAGAATTCAAAAAAAATGATAGAGGAGTTTATCAGAGTGCAATTTGCAAAGAAGATGCAGTAATTGTTGTAAAATGGGCAGACAATTCTATTGTCTCAATTGCTTCGAATTGCCATGGCGTTGAGCCACTTTCCACTGTCAAACGATACTCTCGAGTACATAAAAAAACTGTCCAAGTGTCACGACCTTATGTATTGGGAGAATATAATAAATACATGGGTGGAACAGATAGAATGGACGAAAATGTTGCCAAATATCGTATAAACATACGTAATAAAAAATGGTATTGGCCCCTTTTAACGTGGCTAATAGATATCTGTATACATAATGCATGGACGCTGCAACGAAAATTTGGAAGTACTGAAATTCCACAACTTCAATTTCGAAGAGAAATTGTACTGACTTATCTCGGCCAATATGGAAAAGCAGCAAAAGGTGCAGGGAGACCTTCCTCCTCGAAAAGTTCCATCATGCAAAGGGTATCCGAAGCAGTAAGATCAGATGGGAGAGATCATTTTGTAGCAAAAATACCGGACAACAGAAAATGGCGATGTGCTGGTGGAAACTGCAAATCCATAATGAGAACTATGTGTAAAAAATGTAAAATTGGTATCTGTATAGATTGTTTTGAAGAGTTTCATAAATCACAATAAAATGTGTATCAATAAAAAATGGTTGAAATGGAATTTTCTTTGTTTTGTCATTTTTTATTTTTCTTTATATTTTGGAATTATTGGAGAAGCTGAGCTCTAACCTTATTAATAATTGACATCCAATGGCAACGCGGATTATCTCGTAACTTTTATTAGTTTTTGATAATATATATTTAAAATGTCCTTATATAACAATAAAATAATAGTATTATACAAAAAAAATTTTAAAAATTAAAAAAAATATAATTCAGGTTATTAAGGGTTAAGCTGATGGGTCGAAAGACATTAGGAGTAGGGACCGAGTATACCATAGTCGATTCTGCCGGTACATATTTCCAGGCGAAAATTTTTACCAAAATAGGCAACAATAGTGACCTTCCTTGCTGTAACAAAGCAGGAAAGATATTGTCTTTTCCGGGCGATTTGAACGACTTAAACGTTTGAATCGCTTGGTCGACGGATGTGCAAGTGACGACTTTTCTAGCCACACTCCAATCCGAATTTGAAGGGCGCTTTGTCATGTAGGAATAGCTCGCTGAGGCATTATCAGCCCCCATCATCAAGCTTCCTGGGAAGTGGGTCTGCATGAGAAGCTCTAACGAGGCTTTGTCGGTAGTCCGTAAAACTACCGACAGGCCGCTTAAGTGAGCCCAGGGGTAGTGCCGGATCTCTAGCGAGAATCTTGTGAATTCTATATACATAATATTTCTGAATATTATACTATACAGAAATACAAACTTACATCAACACAAGAATTAATTAAAAACTAAGCGAAAACATTGTAATCGTCTCTCAGGTTTACAAGTCTGCACATTCTCTGAAACGGAGCGATAGCCTGCACGTTGGTTCTACTATTCTTCAAATAGCTGTATCGGGTAGTGTGGCTGGGTACACTAAAGTTGATGCAAGAGAGTAACCAGTTACAATCCGTCTCACCACTCACCAGCTTTATAATAAATATAACGTCGAGACCATCCGTTCGAGTGTTAAGTGAAGAAAAATGGTGACGTTGCAACAAAGATTGGTAGTCAGTGCCACGAACTCCATCTTTTTTGAATTCTCCCCAATAGAAGACGATGCGAGATATAATGCGATAATCATATAACTGAACTATACATACTCCAGTCTCGGCAGAACAAGCGCTCGAAAAGGCGATATGTATATTGCAGAATCCGCTAATAAACTTGAGGAAGCGATAGTCTGCTATCAAAAGTTACTCCCAGATCTCTGATGGAAGTCAACTTAAGCAGGGAGATTCCACCTATACAGTAGGTTGAAGGGATAGGAGTAGTTCTACATGTAAAAGTGATAGCATTACACTTCTCTACATTAATCCCGAGCTGATTACGATCGCACCATTCCACCAAGACATCAAGATCCCACTGCATCGAAGCCACGTCATTATTCGAAGTCATAGGACGAAATATCTGAAGATCATCAGCATAGGTGAAAATAGGAATATACCAGACTTAAATCTGTTTAATAAGTTGTTAATAAATATTACAATCAGTAGTCCATTCAAGTTAGAACCCTGTGGGACACCAGGTCGTGCAATAAGCTCCACCGAAGCAAAGCCATTATAAAATACAAATTGGCCCTTTTTGATAAATACGATGAAACAAGACACATAAGCCCAGGGGAAAAGGGGAGTTAATTATCTTTATTTTTCAATTTTATACAACAGATATTTCCATCCATTTTATTTTATCGTTCTAACTTCACTTTTTCTTTTTTTCTTCGTTCTGTACTACCGTACACGTCAAGGTCAACATAGTTCTTTACGTACAATTGAAAGGTGCAATAAAAGCTATAGCATTCTATTTAAAATAACGAAGTTATGGTCTTCCGGTAGACCGGAAGTGGCGGCTATCATGAAAATATTTTAGATTGAAAGTTTCGACTGAACAACCCGTGCCACCAAAATTTCAAACTTCTACGAATAGTGGAACCTGAAAAAATTCTAACGAACCAGTTATGTGAGACACCTCTATACAGGGTGATTCATTAGCTCTATGACAAACTTTGGCAGATGAAAGGTGATGCGATTCTAAGGAAAAAATGTTATATGAATATGGGTCCGATTCATTTTGGTTAAAGAGTTACAAGCCTTTGAAAATTTTACACAGTTTAATAGGCAAATGAAAATGTAACATAAAAAATAAGTTTAAAAATTACAAAAATTGTTCGAAATGTCCGCCTTCAGCTTGAATGCACGCTTCACATCGACGAAGTAAAGATTTGCAACAATCGCAACAATAATTATGAAACACAAATACAGAGTTGGCTGTGATAACAAAACTGAGTTCTTTATGTCAAACATTTCAATTTACTCTATTCTGTGTGTTTCAAAGTTTATAATTGTCAGAGTTTTGATCGAAAACGAAAATGCATGTATTTACGACTGAAGAATATGCAGATATTATTTTTGTATACGGGCTTTGTAACGGAAACGCTCGGCAAGCAGCAAGAGAATACCTTCGTAGGTTTCCAAATAGACATCAACCTGCCCATACAGTGTTTAGTGCATCATTTCGCAGACTGAGAGAAACAGGTAACCCCGCTCCACTACATTCCGTTCGTCCCCATGATGTGAATGTACAAAATGAAGAACGTGTTATTGATTTAGTACTTGACGACCCTTCAATTAGTACTCGGCGTATAGCGAGCATGTTACAAATATCCCAAAGTTTTGTATGGCGTGTATTGAATCGAGAAATGTTACATCCGTTTCATCGCCAAAATGTTCAAGCATTACATCCTGGAGATACTGAGCAACGCTTAGCATTTTGCCACTGGATTATTCAGCAACATGCTCAAAATAATAACTTCATTTCCCAAGTTCTGTGGTCTGATGAAGCGTGTTTCACTAGGGACGGCATAAATAATTATCATAACGAACATGTGTGGTCCTTGCAAAATCCACATGCAATTAGACCAGGAAGATTTCAGCAACGGTTTAGTGTAAACGTTTGGGGTGGCATTTTTAACAATTCTTTGCTACCTGTATGGGTGATAAATGAACGCTTAAATGCAAATATGTACAGAAATTTCTTGGGACATAACCTTTTCGATTTTATCGACGACGTACCACTTAACATCGTTCAAAATATGTGGTATCAGCACGATGGTGCACCACCACATCGAGGAAGAGAAGTCATCGCTTGGTTACATGAACATTTTCCAAACAAATGGATTGGCAATGGAGGTCCAGTAGTCTGGCCACCACGATCCCCAGATCTAAATCCGCTGGATTATTATTTCTGGGGACACATGAAGCAGCTTGTGTACCATGTAGAAATTACTACCCGTCAGCAACTACTGGACAGAATTCAAGATGCAGCTAATAGCATACGGAATGATCCAAATATCATACGTCGTGTGATAGAATCTTTACTTCGTCCATGTGAGGCGTGCATTCAAGCTGAAGGCGGACATTTCGAACAATTTTTGTAATTTTTAAACTTATTTTTTATGTTACATTTTTATTTGCCTATTAAACTGTATAAAATTTTCAAAGGCTTGTAACTCTTTAACCAAAATGAATCGGACCCATATTCATTTAACATTTTTTCCTTAGAATCGCATCACCTTCTCTGCCAAAGTTTGTCATAGAGCTAATGAATCACCCTGTATAAATATCAACTTTAATTGATAAAACATAGTTGTGGTAAATGTTAAAAAGTCATTTGAAAATCAATTTATTGTAGAAATAAATACATATAAATATATCTGCGATAAAACTTTTTATAGTAACAACAGCTGACCGAGCGTGGCACGTGGTAGACATAGTGATCTGGTACTGACTACTGACGTCATTTTTTGGATGACAGATGAACGTAAGATTTAGCAGTATGTACTTTTAAATTCTACTGTCCTTGGACTTAACCTATCACTTATAAATATTTCTGGAAAAAAAACTGACA